AAATTGAATAAACTAAAATAAAACTAAATAAAATAAAATTGAATAAAATAAAATACAACTAAATAAAATAAAATTGAATAAAGTAAAATAAAATAAAACTAAATACAATAAAACTAAATAAAACTAAATAAAATAAAATTGAATAAAATAAAATAAAACTAAATACAGTAAAATTTAATAAACTAAAATAAAACTAAATACAATAAAATTTAATAAAATAAATAAAACTAAATAAAATAAAATCGAATTAATTAAAATAAAATAAAAACTAAATAAAATAAAATTTAATAAAATAAAATAAAACAAAATACAATACAATAAAATTGAATAAAATGAAATAAAACTAAATAAAATTGAATAAAATAAATTAAAATTGAATAAAATTGACTAAAACAAAATTGAACAAAATAAAATAAAATACACAAGAGATATTAAATAACACTGGGTTTATTACTAATCTGACAATAATATAGATAACATAATCTCAGGGTGGTCCACTACAATATCATATTTTAAACTTTAGTTTGTGTGCGTTAGTAATGAAGCTGTGTGAATGTAAACAACATCTCTGAATGTAAGACGCTCAAAGCTCAATGCAAAGGGAGACATTGGCTTTTACAGAGTTAGCTTAGCAAAGCCTACAACGAACAAAGTTTGGGGACTACAAAAAAATACATCCTGGCTAGTGAGATCAAAAGCACTTCAGGTTACATGCATTCATCCTGTGCATAGCAGCACTGTAATGATTTAGCAGAGAAAGCATAAATGTTGTCCAACTGCTGCCATTTCCACAGAGCTTCTTCTGCTTCTTTATTTGGGCTTCCAAAGGACATGGCACAAAGAAAGAAGTGCTTACAATTTAATTTTAATTATAATTCAGAGATTTATAATAATAGATATAGCCAGCATTTGACAAAGGACAGCTTCCAGAATTTCTCTTAGTGCTGGATTCAGCTACAAAATCCTCAAAGAAGGAGCAGCTCCAACGATAATAGAAGAAGCTGTGGATTGTGAGCCACAACCTATAAGTATTTTATTTGTTAGAATTAGTTTTATTTGTTGATATATTACATGCACAGTTTCTAGTGTTAATGCTATGCTGCAGCAAGGATGTAAACAAGGAAGTAAACAAGGATGTAAACAAGCAAACAAGGGAAATGCTGTTTGGCACTACTAAAAATGTAACTACAAATTCATATGTGTTCGTCGAACCGCCGTAAACACACACAATTATCCCCAGCGCTGCAGTGTCTCTCTGATTTCCCTGCATTCTACATCTCAAATAACGAACTCGCAAAAGCTATGTGAACATTTCATATTGCTTTCTGAATATATGTGAAAGAGTCTTGTCAGATGTTATTTTAGAGAGCAGGCGTGAGGTTCAGCTGTCCTCAAGTGTCATTTTCTGTCTGATTCAGGCTCAAACTGATACTGCTAAGAGCTACTCTGACGGACAGTATTTACACAGCAAAGACACAGCACGTGCTATTAAAGGCGTGACACTTTTCCAAGTAATGTGGATGCAATCCGTGAATCACAGCACATTATGTTAGCTGACCAATCAGAGCCTCTTGAGGCTAAAAATAAAAAATACAAAAAATATGACAGTCGTTTTTATGTTAGCTGAGTAGCTGTCTATAATTTAAGTTATACAGTATATAATTAAGATGTACAGTTGAAAAAAATGACGTGATTTTTTTTTTTTTTTTTTTTTTTTTTTTTT